CATTGCTCCAGTTTTTTTCTTCTTCCAATATCTGGTAATATGAATAGCTGGTTGTAAGACAATACCATGTATTAAAACAAATACTGTGAAATTCCTATTACTTTGTTAAGTAAAATTCTGTACGAGTTGTCAAAAAAAATTTTAAAAAGGAAAGAAAAGATAAAAGAGAAAACAAAAAAAATAAATAAATAAAATGAAGAGAATAAAAGAATCAGAATCCCAGAATCATAAATTGAATGTCTTTACTTTTTTTTTTTTTTTTTTGCGGAACTGGTGATTGAACTCAGGCCCTCGCACTTGCCAGGGAAGTCTTCACTCTCCTGGGTGGGAAAATTCCTTGAGAAAGGCTGTCTTCCTACCACAGATGAAACAAAACAGCCATGACAGATGAGCACTTATGTTAATGACAGACCAAGTTACATCAGGAAATACAATTCTGATTCAAGCATCATGAAATTTTGTCAAGCAAAAATAGTCTTTATTCAAATTTACTGGAAACAGGGGTCACTATACTTTGCAAGACAGGGAAAAATAAAATTAAAAAAAATTCTTTTCTTTTTTTTTAATATAAAACAATATAATCACAATACCAGAATATGGAACTCTACAGTTTACTTCCTATGGATTACTGTAGGTATCAATTTTCCTCGACTGTGCTATTCACAACTTTGTTAAGTCCAAAAATATGAAACCAAAGTGGTAGGAAACTGAAGACTTAGCACTTTCACTAAATGGCATACATCAAAGGGCATCAATTCAAGGGCAAAAATGGTTGAACTCACCATACCTACCTATGCCATCATTCCAGCCTTAGTGCTGTCCAGGTACTGAACTCCCTGAAGGAAAGGCCAGGCCTGAAAGCCAAGGCGTTTTGGATATTCTACTGTGGGCCATGAGGAAAGGGAGTTTCAAAGAGATTTTTTTCAGTCGAGCAGGAAGGCCTGGTGCCAAGAGGCTTTACTGAGAGGAAGCACTTAGATTTTAACAATTATAGACACACCATTAGGGGGGTTAAAAATGTACAGCAGTGACAGATGTTCTACCTCAATCACTTGTGCTACAGCTACCAAACATGTACAAAAGACTTCTCAGGTAGTTCCAGCTGTGGTTGTAGCCAGTTAGGACCTTGAATGAGACCTAGATCTAGACCGAGAGGGCGATCTGGAAGCAGACCTGGATCGAGACTTGGACTGAGATCGGGTTTTGGAAGCTGACTTTGATCTGGAGCGTGATTCTGTCGGAGGGTTTGGTTTTGATTTGGAATTTGATCTTGACCTGGACTGGGCCTCTGGATTGGGGCCGGCATCTTCACTCTCCCCTCGGCTTTCCCTCTGGCCAGACTCAGCCTTGGCGTGTTCCCGCTCCTTTGATGCTGAGCGAGACCGTGACCTGGACTGGGAGCGGTCAGTGTCTTCTTTCTTCTTCTTCTTGCTGCTGCTGCTGCTGCTGCCCACCTTGCTGTCTCGCTTGCTGCTGCGCTTCCTACTCCGCTCACTCTTGCTGCGGCTACGGCTGCGACTGCGGCTCTCCTCCCTGCTCCTCTTCCTGCCCTTCCTCTTGTCCTTGCTTTTGCTGCGGCTGCGGCTGCGGCTGCCCCCCTTGCTCCTGCTCCGGCTCCTGCTCTTGAGGACACTCTTCTCCTGGCTCCGGCTCTTCTCTTTGCTCCGGCTCCTGCTCACACTCCCTCGCTTCTCTTCCTCCACTCTCCTCTCCTGGCTCCTGCTCCTACTTTTACTCTTGCTTTTATGCCGGCTGGGACTCCGACTCTTGGGCTTCCCAGTGCTGTCGTTGTTCTGGATCTTGTCTTCAGCATGGTCTTTGCTCTTGCTGCGGCTCTTGTTAGCGCTGCGGCTCCGGCTGCGGCTCTTGTGCTCCTTGCTGGGACTCCTGCTTTTCTCCTTCTTGCTGCGGCTGCGACTCTGGCTGCGGCTGCGGCTTTTGCTCCGTGAGTGGGAACCTGACCTGAGGAGACATGAGATGTGATGTTATGTTCCATGCTAATTGGGATGAAAAGACCACAGAGTGGTACATGACTGCCCTGCTAAGGACTGTTCTCTGGACCCCCCCAGTGTTAATGTGGAGCTGTAAAAGCTGGAGTGACCAAAGATGTAAAAGCAAAATCAAAGTGAGATGTGGTGTGGTGCTTCCTGCCAACCTCCCCAACCCCAAGGCAGACTTACCTGGACCGGGATCGACTGCTTTTGCTGCTGCCACTTCGGCTTCTGCTCTTCCGGGAATGTCTGCTCCGAGAGCGAGACCTGTTGAGAGTAATTTAAAACTTGCTGACAAAAGGTTAGTGATAACAGTCAATCAGGACAGTCTTTCTTTTGTTTTTGGTGCTGGGAATTGGGTGTTCTACCACTAGCCTACTCCTCAGCCTCAAGACGTTCTTTCAAGCAAACATGGACACTTCTACCAGACACAGCAGTACATGCTGTTAATCCCACCTACTTGGCAGGCTAAGGCAGGCAAGTTTCAAGCCAGTATGATCAACTTATTGAGACCCTGCTGCTAAATACAATTAGTAAAAGTGCTGGAGGCAGAGCTTAGTGTCACAGCACTTGCCTAGCATGCAAGAGGCCTTGGGTTCAATGTCTAGCATTATGGGAGGAAGAAAAAAAAAAAAAAAAAAGTACAGCCCTGGCTGTATCTTGACACAAATTCTTTCCAGTGGTCTAGGTTCACAAGCCTAGCCTCCTGCAAACATTCTACCTGGACAGCGCACCCAGAACTCTTGACTCCAAATTTGAGTCCCAAATTTTCTCCCTAGATCTGCTTCTTTTATTGGGTTATTTCCACTAATGCCACTGTGGTTTATCTAGATCCTCATGTGAGAAACAATAGCCATCCTGGATTCTATTCCCTCATCTACTGATGGTTTTGTCTCTTCATCCTTTGCAGTCCACCCACCTTGGCCGCTGCCTCCCAGGACTGCCATCACCTTCCCTGGCAGCACAATGAACTTCCCATCCTGCTCCCTCAGGCACTCTGACATTTACTTTCTCTTCCCCTCACTGTAATCAAAGGACTGTCTTAAAGACTCTCCAAGCCTCAGAAAACCATTAATTATGCTCAGAGCTTCCTGGGCATCGTTGCTTAGAAAGGGCTCCTATCAAAAATGTCTAACCTGCATCTTTTTTTTTTTTTTAATTTTTTTTTTTAACATTTATTTATTT